CTGTTGGAACTGTTGGGGCGAGATGCGTAGAGAGCAGTAGGGGTCTGTACCGGTTCAGCAATGCGATGTTCTTCCATCTGGAGTAGTGAACGTGTTTGGAGAAAAGATGGCAGCGGAGTTTGGAAGGAGATTAGATTGACAATGGTCCCGTAATGTTTTGGTAAGCCGTGGAGGGTTTGGAGGACGAGTTGCTTGTCTGACACGGGGTTGCCGACGTCTGCCAAGTTGTCGGCAGTGGTTTTGAGAAGTTGACAATAATCATGGATCGAAAGAGATCCTTTCTTGAGGGACTTGAACTGTTCTTCGAGTTGGATGGCCCGATAGTCTTCGTTGTCTGTAAAGAGAGAGGTGAGGGCCTTCCACAGATCATGGGCCATTGCGGTTTTGGAGAGAACCATGCTTGAGAGGTCCTCGGTTATGGTGCCATAGATCCAAGATTGGAGGAGGTAATCCGCACGTTGCCATTCATCGGCGGAGATGTTGTCGGGCTTTTTGTTTCCGAGAAGCAGATCGGTGAGGCAGAAGCGACCTGCGGTGATGGTGAAGAAGTGGCTCCACTTTTGATAGTTCGGATTTTTAATATCCAGGGTTACAGGAATAAGGGCTTTGATGTTAGATATAGCATGAGCAAGGTGAAAAGGGTTAGAAATCATGGGCGGTGTTGGTGTTTCGGTGGCCATGGTTGAAGAGAAGAAGGCAGAACGTGAAGAAAAAAAAAATTGAAGAAGGCAGAACGAGAAAAAAAAAATTTGAAGAAGGAGAGAAACGGCGGCTAGGGTTTTTGGCTTGATACCATGATAGAAGGAGAATATTTGGAGAGAAGAGAGAATAATATCTCTTACGTATATTGAGAATATATATAGTTACATGTAGGAAACCCTAACCTACTACACAAGGTAATCTAATATACAAGGTAACCTAATGTATAAGGTAACTATAATAAATAATAATAATAATTAATAATAATATACGCTAATAGATTACATTGTTTGGCTTTTGTTTCTTTGAAGGCTTTTATATCGGTTTTTCGATCATTGTTTGGCTCGTTTTCTTAATTGGAATTGGGAAACAGTTGGCGAAGGAAAAGTCAGCGAATTAGTTGTTAGTTTGGAAGTTGAATGGATTTGATTGGAAAAAAATAAAACATTACAACAAAGACTAAGTTCCAAGGTTACATTGATAAGTTAAGACTTGGTAATTACTAATTAGTACATTGTTTTTATAAATAATAATATTCTATACTCTTTAAAATATTTATCGATTTAAATAAGTATTTGCTTTCAAACTATTTGTCCATTTAAAATTTAAAAAAGACATAATAATTACATTATTCTCAATTTTACCCTCTTACCGGTCTTAATTAGTTGGACAATATACATTATTCTTAAAAAAAATATCCTATTAATTTTCTTGTGATGAAATCCACTATTTTATATATCCGAAAAAGAAATGATCCATCGGAATCAGGATTGCTATCTGATAATGGATCAGATTGCACCAATATGAAGCCGTTTTCTTCCACTTATTCCAAGGCAAGAATTCAACAACCCCTTAATCAAAATCAAAAAACTATTAATACGTTGTTGAATAGAAATACAAGATGCCAATCGCTAATAATTTTGTCATCATCCAATTGTTTTTGATGGGTCGAGGTGACAATGTCATTAACGTACATATCTTAATTATTAAAGTAAATTACAACCACCCTTAGATAATGTCTAATTTAGAAAGAAAAAAAACCCTTGATTTTTTTCTTAATCACGACCCTCTGCAATTTGTAGATTTCTTACATTAAAACCCTTGTGCAGGTGGTGATTGTAACAAATTTATAAACTGCAGTTCAAATAAATTGGGTTTGTTTTGTAATTACATCTTTACGTTGGTGGGATGGTTGTAATTTACACTAATTATTAAGTGAGTGGACTCAGACTCGGTAATAATTTCTCCATTTGCCTCTGAGTTGACTACATAAATTCTTGCTAATTATCATTAATCACAATCCCCCAAAAGCTTTCTCTCTCTAAAATCTCAGGGCAGCAATGGCGGACGAGAATTACGAAACGTCGAGGTTTAGTTTATTACCAGAGGGATGCATAGCAAACATCGTGTCCTTCACGTCACCCAAAGACGCGTGCAGGGCGGCGGCCGTTTCTTTGCTGGTCAAATCCGCCGCCGAATCCGACACCGTATGGGAGCGGTTTCTGCCGCCGGATTACGGCGAGATCGTTTCGGGGTCGAATTCTCCGGTGGCGGCGTATTCCACCAAAAAAGAACTATATTTCTTGCTTTGTGAGTCTCCTCTGCTTCTTGATGGTGGCAAACTGGTAATTTTTCTTTTGTTCTGTGGATTGTTTTAATTTTGGTGTTCTTGGATGATCGATCCCTTTACTATTTTATTGAGAGTAATCTGCAAAAATTACCTTGTGATAAATAGTTTAGCAAAAACCGGTCGTTAAATTTAATCAAAGGCAGAAACCGCTCTAGTTGACTTTTGTGTGACTCACTCGTTGGAAGTATTTTAGACACGAAATGACAAAATTATCCCTCAAAATGTACTTATATATGTATATATTTTTCTTTTAATTTAATTGTTTAGAAATTAAAATATTATTAAAAAAATTGTAAACAATTAAGTTGAAAAATTATTAAAAATTTGGTAATCAAAATTCAGTATATGTTTTTTAAATACAAAATAAAGAAATACATAATAATGGAATTTAAGTTTTCTTTTGGTTTAGGGATAATTTAAAATATATACATAAATTATTTGATCGTAATAAAAGACCGTATTGTACTTTTCTAATTAAGATATAACAAAAGTAAAATAATTAAAATATTTATAAAATATAAGAATTTATTAATTGCAAAATTCCAGGTGTATTTGTGTGTTTTTATATCATATCAACACTCAAATGAATAACGGGCGAGTTTGCTATATAAATAATTTTATAGGGGATTTTTTGCTAGTTTACTTATTACCGAGGAGTTTTCACTATTTGAGGTTACACAAAGATATTTTTTTACAGTTTACTCATTTCATCAAACAGTATATATTTTGCACGTGTTTAAAATTGAAATCCCACGTGTTGAATTTGTTGAACAGAGTTTCAGACTGGATAACTCAACAGGAAAGAAGTGTTATATGATGTGTTCAAGAGAACTCCAAATAACATGGGCAGACAATTCCATGTACTGGACATGGACATCTTTACCAGATTCAAGGTATATAATATATAAGCCAAATTACTGCCAACCCCCCGAGGTAATATCAAATTACGAAAAAACACCCCCCGAGATTTGTTTCCCTCTTACACCAACCCTTTACCGTGTGACTTTTCACGGTTTTCTTTTTTTTTTTTTTTTTTTTTTTTTTAAATTCTAGGGAATAGACCTTACACAATTTCATATATTTTCTTTTATTTCTCACCTATTTAATAGAAGGTATAATAGATTGTACATATTTTCCGTTAAAAAACTCGATCAACAGTTAATCAGATGGGATTTTGGTTTCTACGGATAGGTGGGGGTAGTGTTTTTCGTTATTTAGGTGAATAAAAAATTAGAATTTCCAGAATCCCGCTGGCTGATTTTCGATCCGATAATTTTCGATTTTGGGACATGTTTTTTCATTCAAATTTCCGTTTGTTTTTGGAAAGGAACTGAAATTAGTTTTTCTTTCCGAAATAAATATGAATATTTTCGGACGTGCTAATTTCCGATACAATCCATCCAATCGCTACTCCTATGTCACATAGTCATAATTTCAATTGATTATACAATAGTGGTTTGTAAAATTTGCAACGGTGTTTCAGATTTGCTGAGGTGGCTGAACTACAAAGTGTATGTTGGCTTGAAATCCGCGCAATATTTAAAGTGCAAATGCTCTCGCCTGGCACAGTCTACGAAGCATATCTAGTGTTCAAACTGTCTGAGGAACACTATGGGCTTGACTGTTACTCAAAGGCATCAATTAAGTTGGTAAGAGAAAACGGAACCGAGATTGGAAATGAGATGACAAGCTCGATTTTCATAGTACCACCAACTCAAAGACGTGTAATATGGCGAAGAAGAAGGAGGAGAAGTTTGCCCGGTCAAATAAATGCTGATAATCGAATTTCACGCATTGGAAGAGATGGTTGGTTTGAAATTGAGTTGGGAAATTTTTTCATTGGTGAAGGAGATCAATTTGATGCCCAAATTGAATTTCTTGAAATTGAACAACTTAATTGGAAGAGAGGTTTAATTGTCGAAGGGATCGAGTTAAGGCCCAAACACTTTTGATTCTATGCTACATGCGGTGAAGTCTGCATTGGGTAGATCTGCACTGCTCATCTGTACACACCAACGTGGGTGTGTATGTTTTTTGTGTGTGAATAAATGATAGAGATTTACCCAATATATTTCACCTAGTGTACTATGGAATAAAAGTTTGTTTATTTGTTTTTTTTTTTTTTTTTTTTTTAAATTTGAAGTGAATTTGTGGTGTCTTTTTGTTATTGAAAGTATTGTGATCGTGTTTACAAGTTCTTTACCATAAAAAAATTCATATGTACTTGTCCATATTCTATATATATATATTTGGGGAAAATTATGGCCAACCCCCTAAAGTACCCCCCTCTTATTTGAGTAATTACAACCATTTCCCTCAATTATGTATTGTCTCACGCGTTCATTCTTACGGCCTCAAATTTTCCTACTAATGAGACAATTCTCGTAAGAAAATACATTATGGATGGGTAATTATAATTACCCAAACATAAAGGAGTTTTCGTAATTTGACCTTAATTCAGGAACGAATGCGAAAATGTTAATTTATATACATAGCTTAAGTATTAAGTCAGTGATAACTCGGTAATAATTTCCAGTTTGCCACTGAGTTGACTCGGGAGCGAAACATTTATCCCTTTCGAAACAAAACTTAACTACAAAGTTTCACTCCCTTTATTCTTTGTCTAATTACCATTAATCCATTTCACCTTCATATATATATATATATATATATATATATATATATATATTAGTAAGGGGAAAAGAAAAATTGTTAGGCAGCCATGGCAGATGAGAATTCTGAGAATTCAAGGTTTAATTTATTACCAGAGGGATGCATAGCAAACATCATCTCCTTCACTTCCCCTAAAGACGCATGCACGGCGGCGGCCGTTTCTGTTGGGCTCAAATCCGCCGCCGAGTCCGACACCGTTTGGGAGCGGTTTCTGCCGCCGGATTACGTCGAGATCGTTTCTGGGTCGAGTTCCCCGGTGGCGGCGTATTCCACCAAAAAAGAACTCTTTTTCTCGCTTTGCGACTCTCCTCTGCTTGTTGATGGGGGCAAACTGGTAAAATCCTCTTCATTTTTTTATTTTTTATTTTTATTTTCTGTGGATTTTGTAATAATTTTCTGATTTCTGGGTTAATGATCTCTTTGCTGCTCGATTGGCATTTTACTTCTTAAATTCATGGTGAGAGAGTCATTTTATTTGCATGATTTCTTGAACTGGGGAGAATTAATGATGGGCGCGGGGTCGTTTCCGAGATTTTGGGGGCCTAAGCGAGATTTAAAGACTGTTAAAAAATCGGGCGTTTCTACAATCTACAATAAAACTCATTTTTATTGTAAAACGATGATAAACTTTATGTTAACTCGTTTTTGTAAAGTATATTAGGGTTAAAGTTTCTAGGGGTTCGAGAACAACGCCCCTAATTTTTTTAAGGATAATTTGCATTAAATAGCACTAACACAAGTGAATATATATATATATATAAAATTGAATAAATAATACATTATAATTTTAGCAATCAGTGTCCGCGCATGATTAGAGGAATTCGTTGATTTAATATCTATTTATGAATTAGGGTTTTCAATAATTATATAAATAGTACATTTTTTTTCAATGGGCGGAAGGTGTTTGTTAATATGCTACACTGACACTACTTGTTTCTTGTAAATCCGATAATATAATATTTTTCGATTTTTGGGACCGAAAACTGTTCGATATATATATAAAGCCGAAATGTTGAAATTGTTGAATAGAGTTTGAGATTGGATAAATCCACCGGAAAGAAGTGTTATATGTTGTGCTCAAGACAATTCCAAATAGCATGGGGAGACAATCTTATGTACTGGACATGGTCATCTTTACCAGATTCAAGGTGTGTGTGTGTATATATATATATATATATATATATATATATATATATATATATATGTGTGTGTGTGTGTGTGTGTGTGTGTATCTATATGTGTGTATATATTATATGGTATTTTCTTACACAGTAAAATCTTAGCCTTGAACTCAAATTTAATTTTGTAAATTTGCAAATGGCATTGCAGATTTGCTGAGGTGGCTGAACTACAAAGTGTCTTTTGGCTCGGAATGCGCGCAATATTTCAAGCAGAATTGCTATCGCCAAACACAAACTACGCAGCGTATTTAGTCTTTAAACTCATGGAGGACCACGAAGGGCTCGATTGTCCCTCAAAGGCATCGATTAAGTTCGTAAGAGAAAAAAATGGATCCGTGATTGAAAAGGTGGACAAGACAATAAGCAATGTTTACATAGTCCCGCGTGTAATGGGGCGAAGAAGAAGAATAAGAAGAACAAGGGGAGGCTTGCCCGGAACGACTCCCAATGATCGAGTTTCGCGTGTTAGAAGCGACGGTTGGCTTGAAATTGAGTTGGGAGATTTTTTTATTTGTGAAGGAGATAAATTTGATATCCAAATTGATGTTTCGGAAACCAAACATCTTAATTGGAAAAGGGGTCTCATTATCGAAGGGATCGAGTTACGACCGAAAGAAGTATCTTGAGCATTTGGAGATCTAGTTTAATAATGAGCATCTATATATATATATGCAAAAGTTTCTTTGTTCTTAAATTTGAAGAAAATTACATTTGTAATAATAATATTATTAAGTATTTAATTTTATAGGTGCATAAAGAAATGAAATTTCAAATTTCGTTAGATTCCAATACGATCAAGTTGTTTATGTTCACAATTTCGAAACTTTGTTTCCAATTTCTCGATTTTTTTTAATTGAATTGAAATTGTAAGATCGATTATATAATATAGAGTACAAACACGCTGTGGAATAAGTCAAATTAGAGAGTAGTAGTGGTGAAGAGATAAAAAAACAAAAAAACTTATGCTATTACTCATTCAATCAGCACAAATATAAAAGCTCACTTGAAGATCATCTTTCTTATCTCTCTACACTTTTCTAGCATGTATCTAGCATAATAAATGAATACATAATTTATTCGATTCATCCTCCACAGCGTTGTACATGAATATCTTCAAGATACAAATCTTGTTTTGTGGTAATGAAGGAACATGGAGCAACCAACACTGTCGTATAGTAGCCCGCAAATCGTACGAGACATGTAAACTACACTAGGCTAACCATATGTGACAAGTTCGACATAGCGACCGCTGACAAGATGATTCGAACCTGGATCAATTGATACATGTTCACTTGCTCCAGCTGATAGATCATCCCCTACGAGACTAGAACCTTCGATCGCCAACATAAATTAGTTTTTCAATCTCCAACGAATTGAACTTTTTTCAAGCATGCTAATTCTACTCCAACATTCCTTCCCACACTTAACTCGGAATCTATTCAATGCGAATAATAGGGTTCGACGCGGTTATTGCTATGCTACACCCGATGGAGATTACACTGGGTAATATCTTTTACTGTTGATCTACACACACCAATACAGGTGTATGTATTTATATGTATATGAATGGTAAATATCTACCAAATATAATATATTTCACCCGATGTAACGTAGAATAGGCCGTACAAAGCTATATAGCTACTTAGCTTGATATTCACTCAACTAAACTTTTGTGCACAAAACTCCACTCAGAAGAATATATACTCTTGTATAGGAGTACAAGTGTAAGAACTTTTATCCAATTTTCACACTAAAAGAAATTGCCCTAAAATCTCAAGATGGGGGAAATTGATCTCTCTGCAGATGATGCCCACCAAGTGTTCGACAGAATGCAAATGCTAAAAGCCTTCGACGAAACAAAAGCCGGCGTCAAAGGGCTAACAGATTCCGGCCTGCTCAAAATTCCCACCATTTTTGTACGGCCACCCGATGAACTGGCTGAAGAATCAACATACAAAAAGACTCAAATTCAAGTTCCGGTGATTGATCTGAGCGAAATCAAGAATTCAGACAGGCGGAAAAACATTGTTGAAGAAGTAAGAATTGCGGCAGAAACATGGGGGTTTTTCCAGGTGGTGAATCATGGGATTCCTCGAACTGTTCTTGATGGGATGATCGACGGAATTCGTGAATTTAACGAGCAAAATATCGAGGAGAAAACGAAGTATTACACGAGGGATATAAAAAGAATGGTGAGATATCACAGTAATTTTGATTTGTTCTCTTCGAAAACTGCTAACTGGAGGGATACCTTAAGCATCTCGATTTCCGACCACATTCATCCTCAAGAATTGCCGGCTTCTTGCAGGTACAGTTAAACCTCTATAAATTAATATAATCTGGATGAGTGAAATTCTATTAATTTAGCGAAATATTAATTTAACAAAATAATTTTTAGCACGTTGCTCTCGAGTCGGGACCAAGAAAATATATTATTTAAATGAGGTTATTAATTGAGTATTAATTTATTGATATTATTTAAACGAGGTTATTAATTGAGTATTAATTTATTGATGTTCTAATGTATATTTAATATTCCGCTTCCGCTGCACGAAAACTAGGGTGAAATCGGATGACTCGGATGGGAATCAGCACTATCGAAAAAAAAATCCATTTGTTTTCGAAATGTCAAAAAACTGGAAATTTTCAGATTGAAATTGGCGGAATTCGGAATTTCCATTTTTCTAGTTACATATAGTATAGAATACCTGATAAAATCGATATAAAAAGTGTAGTTCCCAGTTAAAAAAATCGAATTTTTAGAAATGAAAATCGGATGGGAAATCGGAGATCTAATAGGTATTGTAATGCCATTCCTAAAATAAAACTCATAAATCGGAATTTTCGGAGTGAAAAGTATTGTTTCATAATCGAAAATATTCGGATCAGAGTCGCCGAAATTCAAAAATTATTGTTCCGATTTTCCACCCTAAAGAAAATCGATTTTTGTCCAATTTTTTTAAGCACATATATTTCACATTGCATAGTAATTGAAAACATAGGAAGTACGTAATTATTTTCCGTTTTAACACATTGAGTTTTAATATTTGCTTAAAAGGGAGAGATACATGTTTTTCTTTTAATTTATACAGGGAAAGCACATTGGAATATTCAAAGCATGTCTCGATTTTGGGAAACACACTACTCGAGCTACTCTCGGAAGCCCTCGGACTAAAATCCGATCACCTAAATAAAATATTGGAATGCTCAAAGGGGCATCGTATTAGCTCTCACTACTATCCACCATGCCCCGAGCCAGAGCTAACTCTCGGGACAACTCAGCATTCCGATCCTGGATTTCTTACAATCCTTCTCCAAAACGAAATCGGTGGATTACAAGTTTTTTATCAAGATCAATGGGTTGATATCGAACCCTCTCTTGGAGGTTTGGTTGTAAACATTGCAGATCTTCTCCAGGTACTTGTAAAACTTGTGACATTTTCTTTTTTCTTTTTTTCTTTTTTTCTTTTTTCTTAGGTAAATTACGAAAACCCCTTGAATTAAGGTCTAGTTATCAAAACCTAGGGGTAAATTTGGTATTTTTTTAGGAATATTTCATGGAATAAAATTCCGTCATAATTCAGACAGGAAGAGGGACAATGTAAGACGACAACAAACTATATGCCTTTTTTGTGTAAGGGCAAATTACGGCCACCCCCTGAGGTATGGCCACATTACGAAAACCCCCCTCTTGTTTGGGTAATTACAGCCACCCGTCATTTTAAGTATTTTTACATAAAATTTATGTAATTCGGTTATTTACCGAACCAAATCGTATATTCAGTTCGGTATGAAATCGAAATTTCGGTTCGGTTTTTACTGATTTAACATCCCCGAATTTACCTCTAGAGAGGTATTTTCGTAAGATAATACATAGTTGAGGGGGTGGCTTTAATTACCCAAACATGAGGGGAGTTTTCATAATTTGACCATAACTCAAGGGGGTGGCCGTAATTTGCCCTTTGTGTAATTATGAATAGATGAGGTTTTTTTTTGAAATTTAATTTTACTTCAAGGGTTTCTCGTAATTTACCAATTTTCTTATAAACACTGTAAATCTTCTCCAACTTACAAAACTTGTGACAATTTTTTTTTTCTTTTTTCTCAGGGTAAATTACCAAAGAACCCTCTGAACTAAGGTCTAATTACTAAAACAATAATGGTAAAATTGATATTTTTTGAGGAATATTCCATGGAATAAAAAAGATTCACTCATAATTCACACCGTAAGGGGACAGTGTAAGACGGTAACAAACCACAGAAGCTTTTCTTGTAATTATTTTTTTTTGTAATTTGACCTTAGTTCAGGGGTTTTCTCGTAATTGACCCTTTTTCTTATAATAATGCTTTTATGTTTTCGGGATTATGATTTCTTGTGATTGATTTTGTGATGGACATATATATATAGTTGGTGTCGAATGGGAAATTTGTGAGCAATAAGCATAGAGTGATGGCTAACGGAATCGGACCAAGAATTTCCGTGGCATGTTTTTTTTCTGGACCCGTTCGTGAAGTTATGGTTTATGGACCGATTAAGGAGCTGATTTCCGAAGAAAATCCTGCCAAGTATAGAGATGTAATATTGAGTGATTATCTGCTCAAGTTTCTGAACACTGGACTTGATGAGAATCTTGGTCTTGATTACTACAAGTTGTGAAGATTACTGTAATGGCACAGGAAATACATTTCTTGGGTAGTACTGAATACGCGATATAATTCGGTCGTTGTACGACTTCGGTATCGTTCAGTGACATATATTGGATTAATGTGAACTATAGTAAGTAATTATTAGTTGGTAAGCCGAACGATTACTTAAATTGGATCTTGTACTGAATTAGTGATTTTTTTTTTTTTTTTTTTTTTTTTTTTGTATTATATGTGATTTGTCGGTAAAACTTCTTACTTGATGAAGGTAAAATATTAAGTGTGTGTTTTCGGTGTAGTGTGTGTGTGTATTTTTAGTGTTTGTTTTCGATGTAGTGTGTGTATAATTTTGAAGTGTGTTTTTTCGGTGCAGTGTGTGTATTTTTTTTTATAGTGTGTGTTTTCGGTGTAGTGTGGGTATAATTTTTAGTGTGTGTTTTCGGTGAAGTGTGTGTAAATCTTTTTAGTGTGTGTTTTCGGTGTCGTGTGTAGATTATTTTAGTGTACGTTTTCGGTGAGTATATTTTTTATTGTGTGTTTTCAGTGTAGTATGTGTAATTTTTTTAGTGTGTGTTTTCGGTGTTGTGTGTATATATTTTTTAGTGTGTGTTTTTGCTGTAGTGTGTGTGTATTTTTTAGTGTGTGTTTTCGGTGTAGTATGTGTATATTTTTTAAGTGTGTGTTTTCGGTGTAGTATGTGTATTTTTTTTTAGTATGTGTTTTCGGTATAGTGTGTAATTCTTTTTAGTGTATGTTTTCGGTGTAGTGTGTGTAAAAACTTTTTCACAATCGAAATCACCCAAAATTGTATTCTACAGTACACAAATTTTAGTTAAAATATTGCAACATCCAAAAAACTATTTCACGATCAAAATCATAAAAAACTGAATACTACAGTACACAGATTTTAGTTAAAATTGGTGGAACGTCCAAAAACCTTTATCACGATCAAAACCACCAAAAAATACACTATAGTACACAAATTTTGGGTAAAATTGGTAGAACGTCCAAAAATCGTTTTTACGATCAAAATCACCAAAAACTGTATACTATGGTAAACAGATTTTAGTTC